ATCAACTTGTACAGTGTGATGTAGAAACTTGAAGCCACCAGTGCACATCCACTGAGAATGGACTTTACAGTGAAGTAGGAGACATCTTGTGTCCAGCAGGAGAACTTTAGAAATGAACAACATTTGCATATTCACAGATTCTGGAATTTATAATGAGGCAGAAGGAGGAGATGACTTTTTAAGGGTTTTACTGTAGAAATGAACACACATCAGACACACATTATTGTACTAAGCAGACTATTTGTATATGTATAATACATGTCTGGAAGGGATCTTTAAGTCTGAAAAATGATTTGTTCTGTAATATGAACTGCTAAAAGATTTTTTAATAAAAGTAACATTATACTCATAACCTTACAAATGAATGCTGAGATTGATTTTGCAGACAAAAACGTGTCCGGTCAGAGACGTCAGTGGTGTGATTCCTTCAACCTTTGTGTCTAACCAGTGAAGATGCTCTTCTCATTGATTCCTTTAAAATGCACAAACGGCCTCTGGGGGGACGTTACAGTACCACAGGAGCTTTCTCTATTTACATCACCTGACTGGCTTCCTGGGTTCCTCAAATGCAGTTACCTCAGTGCCATCTGTTGCCTCCAGTGTGCAAACGTACCTAGCATCTCTAATGCTCGTCTGCTCTTTAGAACCCTCTCTTCTGCATTCTAACATCAGCCCTGTAGCTTATGCTACCATAGCATCCATAAAGACACTTTTTCTCAGACTGTGGAGGTGTGCTGTTCAATTCATGTAAACCGTCTGCATGCATCATTAACAAGCACTCTATAATGAAGGACCAATTCAAACTAATGAAGCTGTACATTAGTCTCAATTATCAGCGTGCTCCAGTCAAAGTAATTAGGCGGCAGTATGAAAACATTCCAGAGGTGTCTCTAGGCCGTGCTGGTCTCTAGCAGTTAAACAAGGGTCAGATCAAACACAGAGACGTATTATGGTATACATGCACAGCTCTACACCATTGTTCTTTTGATGCCTCTGAATTACTCATGCAGCTGCTGTGGCGACTGCAGTACAGACATGATCAGACCGAAGATGCCAGCCTGCACATAAAGACACATGACAGAGGCAGAGAGGCGCTCATGAGCTCGCTGCTGCAGGATTTAGATTATTGATGCAGGGTTTGGATATCTTTAATCCCAGAGCTCGCTTTAATCCCAACTATATACTGTTTTGGAAGTGACTGAGAAAAATGTGATATTATTGTGGCAGGAATGGGCCGTTGGATATTGTCTTTGTGCAACAAAAAAAAGGGCCAGAGCAGATAAAAATGAGGGTACAATTCTGTACACAATCATGGTATAGTAATAACACCCGGCCACCCCATAATTCTAAACTATGACCGGTGAGAGCCAGGACCTTATTTCAAACAACTACTATCAGAAGTCTGATAGTATTGAGTCTTATGGAGAAATGAGCTGACTTCTGACTTGATTTATGAGCTCAGTAAACAGTTTTACAGCATGATGTTCATTTAGTAAATGATGGTACCATTTAGAGTAAAATAGATCATAAGCAGGTATGCTTTAGGGCGGGCTACTGTGGATCACTTTCCAGTGAGTCCGGTCAGCTCAACGCACAAACTAAAATCAAACTGCTCAAACTAAGGCAGTGCTGATCAGATATATAAGATTATGTTACTGTGTTGACTATTTCTCTCCTAAAATCTTTTCACAAAATATTTTAGTGTACTGTTTATCTGGAATATGAGATCATGTGTAACCAGGTGAGTTGCTATAATTTCCTGCTATGGATGAGTCAAAACCAAGCACAGCCAATAAGAGCAGCTCAACTCGCAGTCACCATCGCTGGCTCTGAAAAACCGACATGGTGACGACAACGGTACTCCACAAACCAATGGGTGGGGTCACAGTAGGTTCATGCTTGGTTCAAACCAACTGTTTAAATAAAATGTTTTAAAATATATTATTATAAAAAGTGTTGTGCAGAGTGCAAGCCAACACAGGAAGAGGTGAATTACACTGTTTGAAATGCCCTGCAGGGTTGGTAAGTGTATCCTGGGCTGCAAGAGGCAGCTCGTAGCTCTTTTACACTCCACTGTAGCACATTTTCTAACCTTTCTTGTAGATTTGCAGTTTTACTTACCTAACCCCACTTGAGGAAGGATGAAAGCTTTATATTACATTTGTACATTGGCTCTACTCTGTTGTGTTGTGATTTGTAGATACATTTATGTTTTCAGGGGTGCCCCAGTAGCTCACCTGGTGCAGTTTGCTCCCTATGTACTAAACCTGAACCCTGCAGCGGCTTCGGTTCGATTCCAGCCTGTGGCCCTTTGCTGCATGTCATCCTCTATGATCTCTCTCTCTCTCTCAGTGCTTTCCTATCTGCATTCAGCTGTCTCTATCTATTAAAGGCATAAAGAACCAGGGAAATATATATTTATACAGTATTTATTGTAAACACAGGGATGTAAAAAAACTGTAGGATACTGTAATGTCAGTGTATGGGAAATGGTAAATTAATATGACGTGTGTGCACACATACCTTTCCATTCCTTTCTTCAGCATGCATGCCACCCCTGCATAAGTTAATGCCCCACATGAGCCACCCCAGTCAATAAAGTCTGGATACACCACTGGCTGTAAAATATATTCACTAAAAGAGCAAGAATAACTGTGAGTGTACATCAGCACACAGATTCAGTCATGCATCTCCATTCTATGAGAGAGATCACATCAGAGCCCTGGTGAATGTTAAAGATCAGCTCAGATAGAGCCACATGAAACCAGGAGCCCCGCGGATGGGGCTGTTGTTTGGGGAACACCTCGACCCTGCGCACAATGACGGGGTCTCGCAGAGGGCAGCAGTCTCAAGCAGGAGCGCTGACAGCAATCTGAAAAAAGATTCTCCTCCTCCTGCAACACATTACGGGGCGGCGCTGGCTCTTTGACAGCCAGCCTCCGGGACGAATAGAAACGCGGTGCTCCCCGGGAGTCGTCCAATCCTCGCATCCAAGGCGGGGTCTCGGGGTCGAAACCAGAGAGAGAATCCCAAAAATGACATCTCGATTGCGGTGGAGCAGGGAGCAACTGGGACGCTGAGAGAAGAAAGAAAGAAGTCCGACCCGGAGCTGCTCGTGAGGCTCGAAGACGCAGCGGAAAGGCGCAGAGAATTACGCACGGTCTCCAGTTTGGATGCCTCTGCTTCAGCGCGGACTTTCATCGCATCTTTGGAAATGTAGTTGCATTCTTGGGGAAAATCTCAAGAAGGCATTTGTTGTTACAGTACTGGTTGATGAGAGAGCTGCTGAGGCTCCGTTTCCTGTTTGCCAGCGCGCTGCAGCTGGGCTGAAGAAGCCCCGCAGGGCTCACTGAACACCGGGTCCTCCTTCCCCGCTCCAAACCACCGCCGGTCCGCTGCCAGTCCGCTGCCACAAACTCGGTGGAGAAAAAAGAAGAAATGTGCGACCTGATGCCAGCCTCCCAGCCCGCGGAGAAAATCGGCAAAATGAAAAAGTTGAGGAGAACTTTGTCCGAGAGTTTCAGGAGTATCGGTGAGTAACGGGATGTGTTTTCTATTTTCCAGCTCTTTGTGCAGAAAAATCCGAGTTGAAAAATGTCTCCAGCAGCAGCAGCAGCAGCACAGACTGCTGCTTCCTTCTGAGGTGATGTCTGGTCACAGTTGCGGTTAGCAGCCATGGAAAACCCACATTCACTTGGCCTGTCCACATTTCTCTCAGCAGAACTGCTTTTAAAGCTCAGAAAGAGTTCTGAGGACAGTGGCTGTGATACATAGGTTGTTTCCAGTTGTGCTGGAAAACTTCTGTTGAATTTGAGATTGATTCTGATCCTCAGGTCAGTCTTTCATAAATATCATCATCGTCATCACAGTTTAATAAT